GATTTTTTATATTTAAAATGAGATGTTTATCCTGTATTTGATTGTGTTTATTTGCAGTTAGTTACACGAATTCAGATATGGGATGAAATCGGATAGGGATGAACGGGTTTAAGAGTTTTTAAGAGTTTTAAGAGTTTAAGAGTTTTTAAGAGTTTTAGTCAAATGCTTTATAATATAGTATAGATATATCGTTGGTCTCGAATGAGATGACAATAAACATAAAGTAACTGTAGATGAGAAAGTTGAATACAATTACTCAGACTTTTTTCAACATTTTTAATTCTTATTGATGTATATCAAGAATTAACACACACATATATACAATATAGATTGTTGCGGAAGAAGGAAACGATAACTTAACCTAAACAATCTTACAAAGAGAAGAACTTAGAAGAACGACACAGGGAGTTTTTGCAAAGAAATGAAGAACACCAAGATTTTCTTCACACACAAGAGACTAGGAGAATAGAAGGAGAGAGTCGATTTCCTTGAGAATGCACTTAGTAATTCTTTTCAAGAAAGTATATTTGCATGGGAGATGCATACGGTCTTTTATACTACCTTCAACATTAAATGCATTGGGACATTTGTCACCTAAGGATAAGAAGGTAGGGGTTGACTCAGGGCCGGCCCTGAGATTTTTGGTGCCCATGGCTAAAAATCCAAATGATGCCCAATTAAAAACATCCACGTGTGGTAATTTACAATTGTCTAGCTTTTTCCTTCATAGACCAAGAGACCAATTAGTGTTTTTTGTTCATAAGTGTGATCTTATAGTTGAGTGTTTGCTTTAAAATAATATGTTAAGGTTTCTTTAATCAAGTTATAGCCTTTGCGTTTAAACACCAACTCATCTACTTGTCCAAAACCAAAATAAGGAGCATCATAACACTAACTCATCTACTTGTCCCATTTACTACATCCCACGTCTTCTATATAAACCAAAATCAACACTCGTACCTTCTCAATCCAACTCTAAACACTTAATTGGTTGGTTCTTCTTCAATTATTTACACCCTACAACATCAATGGCTCATTCCTACTTCACTAATTTTGTCCTTCTAGTTTTAGTCACTTATGGTGTTTGCCTATGAAATTAGCTATTGCATGACTCAATTAGTCCATCCTGTGTTTTATATAATCATATTTAGGGTCTTGACCAATGACAATCTTGAGTTTCATATGTAAAATTGCAAAGTAAATAAGTGCTAACAGCTAACCTCAACAGTCAACAGTAGTCAGTAGAGTAAAAAATAAAATTAGAATATAAAAGAAGAATTAGGTTTTACAATCAAACAACTAACAACAATTAGAAACTTAAAAAATAAAATTAGTAAAGTAAATAAGTAATTAAAATATAAAATAACCCTAAATCCCTAATACTTAAGACTCTTAAGTCCCTATTAGGCTATTATTATTTATTCCCTAACCTAACCAGTAACCAGAATTGCTAAGTGAGTAACTGAGTAAGGGGCTAAGGACTAACCTCTGTTCTCTGTAGTAGAGCGAGAGGCCGAAAGCGAGAGGCCGAAAGCGAGAGGCAGAGTCGCATTCGCAGACGGTAGAGCCAGAGAGCGACGAGAGATGCAACGCAAGTCACGAAGGCAGGCAGCCGGCCAGCCAGCCGCAGACGAGAGAGGGCAGCCGGCAGCCGCAGACCGACGGCAGTCGGAGTGACGGAGTCAATAGTCGAGTCGAGAGTCAGGCAAAGAGCGAGAGCGAGAGCGTTTGCGATTCTTTGAGAGTGAGCGACAGCAAGATTACTGGTTAGGCGACGCGAGGTTAGGCGAGAACTAGAGATGAATCAGATGATGGACTGTGGACTGTCTCTCCTAAGTGGTAACGGTAACTTATTTTAGGCCCAAAATAAAACTGAACCTATATATATATATATATATATATATATA